AACACTAAGTATTACTTGCCCTTCAGTCATTAATTTCTTGTCTTCCAAAATGTGCCTTTAACACTGTGCATACATAGACTTGAATTTAAATCACAGCTACAAATCTACTTTTGCAGTGTTTGCCAGACAAAAATGATTACTTCTTCTTCAGTAGACATGGACTTAGGAGTTTCCCCAATAGTTCTCAGCTCACTGATGTCATTCAAATCTGAAATGTGAAAATTTGAATTTACCCAGATTTTAGGGTGTAGTGTTTCTTATTTTTTTTTTTTTTTTACAAAAGCTTCTTTATTGTACAAAAGAATTCACAATAGATTTAATTGCAAGCTTCCCGTAGTGCCCTTTAAATTATTGGATTTTCACAACTTATATTTATACCGAGTTTCTTCAATTGCCATCTATTGTGTAAATATAGTACTATTGAAAACATAACTGGTGAAGCCCACTGAGGCGTTAAAAATTCAATAACGCCTTTTTAAAATATTAAAACCTTTTAATGCCCTTATATATTTAATTTGAGAGGTACATTTATTTGTACTTCTTCTTCCCCATTAGAGTTGAGGTTTTCAGGGGCTAGAGTCTTTCCTTTCCTCACTTCCCCTAACTCTTTATGCTGTAATCTCACAATAAGAAGAATCTAGTGACTGTTATTTTTCTTTTGTGACCCCAAGTCATGGGATAGTAGCACCTGATAAGCTTCCTAATGGGAAGAGTATGATTTAGGGACTGTCATCCAGAGGATTTTAGTGATTGTTCTTATTCAACAAATAGCTTGCCTAGAGAATCTTTACCTCTCAGAAATACCTCCCCTAGATGATAGTTTATTATTCTAATGGTATGTTTACCGCTAGACATTTGTGCTTCCTTTTAAATATTAAACTAATCTTGGTCTAGTCTATCTGAAAGAGCCTTCAGAGTTTTAGGCACAATAAACTTAAAAGCCTAGACAGAATTTTGTCAGAAAAACTGGAATTAGGAACTATAAAATGCAGCCAGTGTCTTTATTTATATTTTTTGCATAGGACCCAAGGGATGAGTAGAAGATTTCCAAAAGGAAGTCTGAGAATTTTTGTGTTTGTTTTTGCTTGTACAAAAATAATTCACAGAGAAGGAAAACTGAAAATTAAGCTCATTATGTTAGAATCTTCTGAAATCTTTAAAGGAAAGACAATTCAAATATCTCGAGATTGTCCATGTTCATGATAGATAAAAGTATAGTGATGGATTACTTTTTAGGAATTACGTTTTCATCAAAATGACTGGTTACTTTTTTTTAGGAATTATATTGCTTGACTCCATCAGTAAATAGTTCCAAGTACCTGTGGAAAAGAGGGAGGAAGAAGGTACCTTCTTTCCTTATAAATCAGAATTTATAAGAAAATAGTCTTATAACTTGGGTTTGGTACACAGAATAATGAAAAAGGAAGACCTAGAGATCTTCATATCATACAGTTTTAAATAAGTACCTCAGTAGTGAATTCAGCAAATAGTTGAGAGTCATAGGAATTTGGGATTCTTCATCAATAAGCAAAACAGAAAGGTTATTTTCCCTTTGGAGCTTATGTTCTAGTTCATGAGTCAGCCAACTTTTTCTGTGAAAAACCAGATAGTAAATATTTTAGGCTTTACATGTGGCCATGTTGCAATAAAACTTTATCTACAAAAATAGGCAGCCAGCTGTATTTGGTCCATGGGTTATAGTTTCCCAACCCCTATTCTAGGAGGTGGAAACAGAATTAACAAGTAGATTAGAGTATGTTAGGTGATAAGTGCTTTGGGAAAAAGAAAAATAGAGCAGAGCAATCAACTAGGGAGTATGATGAGGTAGAAGTTGGCAGAGTGGGCTTTACTGAGGTCAAGAAGAAGAGGAGGGACCAGCAAAGGAGACTGAAAAGTGAGTGACTGGTGAGATGGAAAGAAAACCAAGAGATGGTGATGTCCTGGAAATGCAATGAAGAGCCATATATTGGGAAGAAGAAAGGAACATCTGTGTAGATATTGCTGATAGGCCAAATAAGAAGAAGGCTGAGATTAGACCATTGGATTTAACTATGTATAGGTTGTTAGTGACCTTGATGAGCAGTTTTGGTGGAGTGGGTTTAGGAGAGAATTAAAGGAGAGAGTAAGTGAAAACAGATGTCTTTTGAGGAATTTTGTTGTAAAGGGAGCAAAGAAATGGAGCAATGGGAGAAGAAGGATCAAGAGAAGAGTTTGGTTTTTTTTTTAAGATAAAAGAAATAATGACACGTTTGTTTGATGAAAGTAATCCAGTAAAGAGTAGGGGTGAAATGATGTAGGAGAATAGGAGAGAATTGCTGGAGCTGTGGCTTTGAGTTGGCGAGGGATGGGGTCTGGTGTATAAGTGAAAGGATTGACTTCAGATAGGTGTGGTGTTGGTAGATGGGTATATGTGCTGTAGAGTCTGTAGTTGTTCTCTTGTGGCTTCAGTTGTTTTTTTGTATGTGTGTGAGAAAGATCGACCCTGAGCTAACATCTGCCAATCCTCTTTTTGCTGAGGAAGACTGGCCCTGGGCTAACATCCATGCCCATCTTCCTCCACTTTATATGGGACGCTGCCACAGCATGGCTTGACAAGCGGTGCGTCGGTGCACGCCCGGGATCCGAACCGGCGAACCCCGGGCCGCCGCAGCGGAGCGTGAGCACTTAACCGCTTGCACCACCGGGCCGGCCCCTCTTGTGGTGTCAGTTTTTTGATTAAAGAATATGAAAGTTAAGTGTTGTGGTTTTATGTATACCTATGGTCTTTAACTTTTAGTACCAGCATTTGAGGGATCTTTGGTGACTCACTAAAATGACTTTTATTGTGCCTTCTGAGGGAGTTATGAACTTAACCCAACAAATTTGTATACTTTAAAGATTAAACCCTACATTAGGAGATTAAATAATGATGCATGTAATGCCTGTGGCACAGCACCTGGTATCATGTAGCCAATCAAAAAATACTATTATTAGAGGATGTAGAGTCAGTACATACTGAACTAGTATTACTTTACTTCTTTGGTCCCAAAAGATACTTTGTCATAGTTTTAAGTGTTATATAAGTTAGAATTTGACAATAGTAAGTAAATATGCTAAATTTAAATCATGGGTCCTTTGACATTTCTCCTGATGTTCTTCCTACTTTATAATGTGGTCTCTTTGTACAGTGACTAATGATATTACTGGCTCCAGTGATCAGGGGGAGTATTGATTAGGGCTCCGTAAATGGATGCTTGTTCTTACATGTTTAATTATTTTACCATCGTATTGCTATGTTAGTTTTTTTGTATAATGAAAATAAATTGTTTTTGTGTACAGCATCTTCCGGTAGATTGTAAGCCCCCAGAAGGTAGGTAATAACTCTTAAATATTTCTAAGAAAATGTCTTAAGTAATAGTTTGTATGTAGAGGATATTCAACAAATAGTGATGATTACTAAATCATGGTTTCATATTCCTTTGGTTAAACTTAAATATCCAATTCTTTACGCCTTGCTCTGATTCAGGCCTGAGACCCTTCTACTATTCTGGAAAATTCTGGAGCTACATTATATTGAGCTTAATGGCAGTTATTAGAATACCTCCAAATTTGGCTATTCCAAATAACTTCCAGAGAGAGATAATAGCAAATTCCACAGTAAGCACATAATAATAGCAGCATAATTGGCACATACAACTGTTGGAATGCCATAGAAACTGGCATCATGATCATTAAAAGAGATTTGTTAGAGAAGGATACTCAACTAAATAATAGCATATTGAAAATCAGAGTAAGATAGACTGACTTTATGTAACTATAAGGAAATAGCCTTGGTTACCACCTTCATACACTGTACCAAGGAAGTAATGAGTGAAGTCAAAGAAGTGATATTCTTGCCAAGTACTAAAGAATCTAATTGTGGCCAGGAACTGTTTGAAAAGAGCAAGCTGAAATGGTTGTTTCATTCTGCAGTAGCCAGTGTGATAAAGAGATAGAAGTGAGAGAACTATTTCCTTTATAAGAAGCAGCTGTGGGGCCGGCCCCGTGGCTTGGCATAGTGCGCGCGCTCTGCTGCTGGCGGCCCGGTTCGAATCCCGGGCGCGCACCGACGCGCCGATTCTCCGGCCATGCTGAGGCTGCGTCCCACGTACAGCAACTGGAAGGATGTGCAGCTATGACATACAACTATCTACTGGGGCTTTGGGGGAAAAAATAAATAAATAAAATTATTAAAAAAAAAAGCTGTGTTTGAGGCTTTACTCTTACAGTTACTGATAAAAATTAAAATATGAAGAGGCTATTTCTTAGAATTTAGGAAGTAAAACTTAGCTGTTCATGCAAATGGCTGAGAAATTCTAAATCTATTTAAATCTAGGTTCCTATCACATTTTTAACAGTTATTTCTAAAACATCAGAACATCCAACTTCATAAAAATATTTTAGATCTGTGGAAAATATTGAACAAGTCGTTTAAAAAAAAGCTGTCTTGTGTTGAAACTTTACTTGTTTTCTTTGTGTTACAGGTCCAGTTGTTTACGTGTTGGATCTTGCAGATAGACTGATCTCAAAAGCCTGTCCATTTGCTGCAGCAGGAATAATGGTTGGCTCTATCTATTGGACAGCTGTGACTTATGGAGCAGTGACAGTGATGCAGGTTCACTATTTTACTCTATTCAATGATATTACTTTTGATGTGAAGATCTATTAAAAAGATTTTTGTTAAGAGTTTTTAAATTTATTATTTTGAATAAGTAATAACATTCTATGGTTTAAAAATAAGAAAACATACAAAAAGTTATCTAGTGAAAAGTCTTACTCCTGTCCTTCATTTGCCCAGGTTCCCCCTCACTCCCGAGGTAGCCACTATTATTAGTTTCATATATGTTCTTCCAGACTTACTTTGTGCATATGCAAGAAAAATATGTTCACACACACGCACGTTTTTTTTTTTTACCTTAAAGGAAACATGTCAGAGCTGCATCCCTCTTTTTTCGCAAACAGTGCATCGTGGAGATCTTTTCATATAAGTGTGCAGAAATCTGCATAGCATTCTATGTATAGAATTACAACAATTTCCCTTCTACCATGTAAGGATACAACGAGGAGTCTTGGACCACCAAGAGAGCCCTCACTCAACCATCCTGGTACCCTGATCCCAGACTTCCAGCCTCTAGAACTGGTAGAGAGAAGGGGTCTGCCACCACATGAATGACAGGTGAAGTTTGCATGTAGGACGAACTATCATGGATGTCCCAGAGCTGTGTGACCGGAGAAGGTGAAGAACCTCTGACCAAGTCCATCTTTATCCTTTTTCAGATGGGAAAGCCCTGCACCAGGAAGATTCAGGAAAGATGTAGTGGTCCTGAGTTTTCACATTGAGCAAACCAAGGGGCAGAGACTGAGCAACTTGCTTCAGTTTGCACAGCTTATAAACTGGAACTCTAACGGAGGTTTTTGGAGTCCTGAAATTTGTGGGTTTTGCTACACCACGCAGTATTTAGCATCACAGGTGTCAGAGAAGCCTGCTGTCACTATGACAACAATATCCCAAGGCACTGGGCAACTCTACCATTATTGTACAGAGTTGAGTCTTTCTCATCCATGATACTAGCACGGGAAGTTGCTCTATCCCTATTTTATGGATGAGTAAGCTATTTTCAGAACATGACTTAGATCAAAAGGGTCCAATCAATATTCAGAGAACTGGCATAAAGTACTTCTATAAAGACAGAATCGGTGGCCAGGGAGCAGTTATCTCTGTGCCAGGTGGAAGCTCTTTGGCAGAATGGAAAGTAAATAGCCAAGAACCCGGTAGTATGCTTGTCAAATTGCCAGTCTGGAAGGACTCGGGGGGTGATCAAGTCAAATTCTCTGTGTGCCAGGGAATAAGACATTATTGAGCACATTAGGGAAGAGTTGCCTCTGGAATGCCATCCAGCCACAGTCAAAGCTAGCTTGTCTGGCTTGTCATGGAAAGGACTTCTTCATCAGACAATACGTGCCTACATCTACAGGGCAATGATAACCCATGTGGATAATTATGACTACAGGCACTCTAGGAAGATCGCATGCATCCTTAATCATGAAACAATTTAATTATTCTACACACAACGTTATTGATAGTTTTGTTATATTTTAATTCCTTGAAAATTGGTCACTAATTTGTATTGCATTAATTAGTCTACAGTGTAATACCCAAATCGTGCATGGTTCTGGAGTTTGTTTTCAGTTGTTCATTTTTAAAGGTAGAATGTTTTACATCCAAACTCACGTACATGTTCAGTACTCCCATATTAAAACAAAACACCAATGCCACTCAAAAAAAAAAAAAAAAAAAGAATTACAACAATTTACTAACCAGTCTCTTATTGATTAGACAATTAGTTGCTTCCAGTTTTTTGCTATTACAAAGCAATGCTACGATCAATAACTGTTGATGAAGATTAGACAGACTTAAATTTCAAGATTTAGTCCCAGGCCCTTGACTCTTCTCTGTTTGTACCCCTTCCTTAAAGATTTCCAGCTATCATCTCTGTGCTTTTTGTGTTCAGATCCATGTCTTTCGCTCTAATCTTTCCCCAAATCCAGTCCTAAAATAGCAACTTGACCCTTCTCCTTAAATGACCTCTGGTGACTTCACACTCAATATTATTGAACTCAAACTTGTCTTTTCCTCAATTTGAAACCTCAATTTATTCCCCATTATAATTTCTCTTTCTCTTTGATTCTTACTCTTGTTTTCCCATCTACTCAATTTATACCCTACGTTCTTAGGATTACCTTTAACTCTTTCTACTTAATAGCCCAATATCCGGTCCACTGACTAAGTCCAAGCAATTTCCATCCTGATATGTCTTACATTTTTGGCTTCCTTTCCACAGTCTTTACTGCCCAACTTCTTATTGCTCCCGCATCATACCTGGATGGCTGAAGGAGCCTTTGATTGGTTTGTCTAACTTCTTTCTCTTCTATCAATCCATCCTTCCAAATGAATCTTCCTAAAATAATACCTTCAACATCTTACTCCAAGCTTACTGTCCTGTCTGCCTTAAGTCATGGGTTTTCAAAAGCAGTACCTAGATTGGTTAAGTGTTTCATAAGTAACTTAGTAATAGTTAATACACTTGTGTTTGTAGATGATATAACTTGCTTTTTCTTTAATATAAGAGAGTGCATAGAAGAAAAGGAGATCAAGGACGTTATGTAATATTGTAGAAATTGCACATAATCTCTCTACGCCAGGGTACATGGTGAGCAGCCTTTCCAGTTGCTCCCTTAATAGTTGTGGTGAGAGTATTGCAAGACTTTTTCATAAAATGTGATGACACCTCAAAAATCTGGATATAGTCACTGGAATGGATCATAAATAGTAAACCATCATTTGTCATGAGTGTAGTGGATAAAGATTGAGAATCTTTGACTTGAAAAAGATTTCCTTAATCTGATTTGTTATGCAGGGTCGTTCACAATCTTACTTCATTTTACTTCGAAGCCATTGGGCTGTCTCCTCTAACCCATCCTTATGTTGTTTCATTTTTCACCTCTGTTCCTTTGGCTTATATCACCCTCCTGCCTAATACCTGTCCTTCCAGTCTTCTCTCTACTTATCCAAATCTAACCTCCTTCTAGTCTTAGTTCAGCCACTTTTCCTCCATGAAGCTTACCAGGCAACTCCTGCCTGCTGTAATTTCTTCTTCCTCTGCATTCATGACATTTTCATTCCTTAGATGGCAGCTAATCTTGTGTTGACCAAGTGATATTTCTTATATAGAGTACCTAGTTATTTAACTTTCTCTGTATTCAGGCCTTACTTTTCCTATTAGAAGGTAATTTCCTTGCAAGTTGAGACTATCTTATACTTATATATTCCCTGTATAGCATATACACAGAGACTAACACTTAAAAGGCTTTCATAAATATTGATTTTTTTATATATGACGGGTTCTCTCAGGTAGTAACAGGTTTGTTTGACTGATTATATTCTCTGCAATAATTTGTTAAACTCCAATAATGAGTATCAGTACATCATTAGATCAGAGAGGTTCAGGATGATTCACTGGGACTGACAAAGACATGAAAACTTAGAGCAGATTATACATTATTTAATGTACAAATACATTATACAGAGGTATATTTTTTGCAGATGAGGAAACTAAGCCCTCTGAGATTGAGTGATTTCTCTTAAGACGTAATTGACCATAAGAAGTGGGATGGCTCTTTTTGAGGAAAAGATTTTAGGCTATCTCAATCTTAAAAGAATTTTGATAATTAATGGGACACTTCAACAATAGGAGCTAATTAAGGAATATAGTTTGTATTCTCTGAAAAGGGCTACCAGCTGCATTTTGGCATTTTTAACCATATTGGTATGATTCGTTCAAAAAGTTAACACTGGGGCTGGCCTGGCGGCATAGTGGTTAAGTTCACGTGCTCTGCTTCGGCACCTTGGGGTTCGCAGGTTCAGACACGGGGCGGGCCTACACACTGCTCATCAAGCCATGCTGTGGCGGCATCCCACATACAAAGTAGAGGAAGATTGGCACAGATGTTAGTTCAGGGACCATCTTACTCAAGCAAAAAGAGGAAGGTTGGCAACAGATATTAGCTCAGGGCCAATCTTCCTCACTAAAAAAAAAAAAAAAAACTTAACACTCAGCTGAGGTCTGTGTAAAGTACGAAATAAATTGAAAGCCCTGATCCCCAGCCTCAAGGAATACAGTTTTAAGACAAGCTATACATAAGTGATCAACTTGAGAACTATTATAAGGTTATATAAACAAATGTGAAGAGAGTGCAGAAGACCACATAAACAGTATTTTAATTCAGTAAAAGTGAAAGATCATTTGAAGTTATGAAAAAAGTAAGTCTTGAGCTGACCCTAGAACAAAGTAATTTGGATTGGTCAAGGGGAGAAAATGATACAAACAAGGAGACAAAAATGAACATGTTGGTTAATGGTGACAGTAAAGGAGATCTAAAATTATGATAATACATATAGATTATGTGTTACCATTTAGAAATAACCTTCACATGTACTGTTTACTTGAAAAGATTTTTTTTTTAGCCCAGAAATGAGAGAGATTAGCTGTGACAGTAAGTAGGTACTGTTGGGTGATTTAAGAGTATGGGAAGACTTTTACCTATCAGAGCATATTTGAGAGGCAATGTGCCCCACTATATACCACCAGCAGTGTTTAGGGTTTTCTGTTTAACACTTGATTGTTTCTTTTCCTTTTGTTCTCTCACTACTCTGAAGTTCAAGTAAATCAGATTAAGGAATCATGCCACTAATCTTTTCCCATTTATTCCCATTTATTTCTCCATGAACCAGTCTTAGGTTCAATCCCTGTTAGTTGTGAGGAAGTTGAATGGGACAGTCCACTTATGTTTTTATCGAAAAGACAGCATGATACAACTTTTTTTCCCCAGCACTGGGCTGAACACCTTTCAGGCACTGATGCATTTAATCCCTACAGCAATCTTGTGACGTAGATACTATCAACTATTCCTACTTTACAGGTTCAGAGAGTTTACATGTCCAGTACCACACAGAAAGAAGAAGCGTTAGGACTCCTGTCCCTAATCTAAGGCTCCTTAAGTGAAACCTGGTTCCAAAGGCAGCTGAAACATTTTATCCTTGAACAATGGAACCTTAATATACAGACTAGTTCCACTTTTGTCTCTAGTGTCAAGACACCCCCATAAGCGTTGTCCTTTGTGTGTGTGTGTGTGTGTGTGTGTGTGTGTGTGAGGAAGATCAGCCCTGAGCTAACATCTGATACCAATCCTCTTTTTGCTGAGGAAGATTGGCCCTGAGCTAACATCTGTGCCCATCTTCCTCTACTTATATATGGGACGCCGCCACAGCATGGCTGGACAAGCAGCACATTGGTGCAGGCCCGGGATCTGAACCAGCCAACCCCGGGCCGCCGCAGCAGAGCGGGCGCACTTAACTGCTTGCGCCACTGGGGGCTGGCCCCGCATTGTCCATTTTTAATTACACTATACTTAAATCTGACTAAGAAAACCTATTAGTTCATCACTGTTCCCATCCTCCCATTTAAAAGTAGGGTTCTGGGCTGGCCAGTGGCATAGTGGTTAAGTGTGCGTGCCCCACTGCTGGCGGCCTGGGTTCAGATCCCCAGCACACACCGACGCACCACTTGTCAGGCCACGCTGTGGCAGCGTCCCACATACAGTGGAGGAAGATGGGCACAGATGTTAGCTCAGGCCCGGTCTTCCTCAGCAAAAAGAGGAGGATTGGCGTGGCTGTTAGCTCAGGGCTGATCTTCCTCACACAAAAACAATAAATAAATAAATAAAATAAATAAAAGTAGGGTTCTAATAAGCAGTGTTTTAAAAGATCAGGCCTCAATCAAAACTTAGCCTTTTCAGCATTAGTGAACTGCAGTCCTAGCTGGATATGAAGATCTAGCTTTTAGCTCTAAAGCAGAAAAACAAACTTTTTTCTCAACCTACAGTTCTATAGGCCTTTTTAATACATGGATAACAAATTCTTAGAGAAGGCATTCTATAGTTCCTCAATCTCACTCTAAAACTGAAGTCTTGAAAATAATCTGTTTTTAAATCTTGGGGCATAAAACTAGAATGTACATTGATCTCACACACAGCTTGCTGGTTCTATATTGACCCAAGTTAAATCAGCCCCGTTGCTTAATTCAGCTTTCATTTATTGCTCTTGAGTCTGACTGTAGTAGCAGGTGGTGTACTACAGATGTTATACTGTCCTACTTCCTTTACAGCATTTATAGTTGCACATTTGTTTGATTTGATTGTCTTTCACCTTCAAAAGACATCTATTTAGCTCACCATTTTATCCTCAGCACCTAGGCCTGTGTCTGGCACATAATCAGTATTCAGTTGAATGAATGAATGTATGCATGCAAGTATGTATGCATGGTGAGCCTCAGCTCGAGCACAGAGCATCTCTCACTTCAGCTTTAACAAGTGGGACAGTGGGCCTTTGCTCACTCTTTGCTCTATTTCCTTTTTTGTTTCCTCATCCTTAGACACCTAGTTGTAAGTTTTTACTGCTACGTGTGACGAATAAACTTTCCTTTACTATAGTCCATAGCTGAATATTCATTCTGCTTTAAATACTAAATTCTAAAGATATATAACCCAATAAAGGAATTTTTCAAATTTCTGAATTTATTTGCTAACACTTTGAGAGTATTTAAATCACAGTTAGTTGTAACTTTAAAGTGATCGTTATATTGAAAATAATAAAATGACATAAAAATGAAATGTCCTGGAAAAGCATTATAGGTAAAAACACAATCTCTGGGCTGATCTCATCCACTTTTGCCACCAGTGTAGGATTAGGGCTTATGAAATATTGTGAACCAGACTATTTCACTAAAGTGAAATTGTAAAGGGCAACTCAAAACGATCATCCGTCACATACAAGATGTGAAGTTGTTAAGTTTCTCCCTGGAGACACAGAAGAATATCAGATACTGATACCATGGTTTTTGACCATTTGATATTTAAAAACGTTTTTTTCTTTTTTTGTAAGGAAGACCGACCCTGAGCTGACATCTGTTGCCAATCCTCCTCTTTTTTGCTGAGGAAGATTGGCCCTGAGCTAACACCTGTGCCCATCTTCCTCCATTTTGTACATGGGACGCTGCCACAGCATGGCTTGATGAGCAGTACATCAATCCATGCCCGGGATTTGAACCTGCGAACCCCAGGCCTCCAAAGTGGAGCACATAAACTTAACCACTGTGCCACCGGGCCAGCCCCTAAAAACGTTTAATGTTACATGTTGGTTAGATAAATTAACCAAGTGCTAGTCTGAGGTATATCCCTAGCTGAAATTTTAAAAGCACCCATTTTGGTCCTCTCCACATAACTTCTATAAAATATTTTTACCTGGATCCAGTCTGTTGTCTAGAATTTCAATTTGCCCTGACTGTTCTCAGCTTGACCTTATTTCACATCTCCTTATAGTCCGCCTAGAAAATCTGCGCTAATAGCTGACATAGAGGGCATCTCGTTTTTTAAAAAATCCCATTTACTTTTGCATGACCTTGCTTTCCTGAGTATATATGGTGC